CGCAATTCCTTGCCGTCCCCATACTCCGTACTGAGACCTTGCCTGAGCAGGGGAATCAATCACGTGGGGAGGGCTCGGGCCAGAGAGAGAGGAGGGGAGAAATGCGCGTTAGTTTGACAATATATCATTTCAAAATATCATTCAGCAAAAACGTCCTGCATTCGAAATAGATAAGGCATATAAACTGCAATTGTCGAAATCCAACCCCTATAGATGAATAGGAGCCAGGGAAACCTCTTGCCAGCCAATGACCAGTTTTTTGTTATCCAGGGCCAATGACTTCGGCTACTGTACTAAAAGTTAGGAATTAGTCACTCTGTGCAGTATGCAGAGCAACAGATCAACAACGAATTTAGTTCCTAAATTATTTTGGGCTGCGGATGCAATTAGTTCCTTTGCCCTGCCGTTTGACATATAACTGCGTGCTAAAAGTTCAGTTCGCGAACATTGCAGTCCAGATTGGAATAACGTGGAACGACTGACTAGTCCTTTAGTCCTGCGACTAATACAACATTCCTATGGTGCTGTGCCCTTTTGATGAATAGGAGCCAGAGGAACCCTTTGACAACCAATGACCAGCAATTTTGGTTAGTCAGGACACATGCAATTTGCCATTATTACTAAAAGTCCAACTTGCCCTCTCCCCTATGCCAACTTTCCTTTTAAGTAACTGCTATAAAACCACTGTGCAAGCATAATTTATGCGTGAAAAAAATCGCTAAATGCGCCTTCTCTGACCTGTACCTTATGCGTGGGTAGGATGAAAATTTATTTGAGGTAGAAATGTCAAGTCTGCTATAAGAATGACTTTAAATTGCAATGACAACGACAACGGCGGCCCGCGTGCCGATCTGCAAGCAAGTATCGCACAAGAGTGCGATTTTCGTTGTCATCATCATAAATTCCCCCCCGCACCCGCCCACTCATAAAGTAAAGGTCAGAAGAAGCGCAGTCAGTGATTTTTCCCCCGTTTGCAGAATGGTTTTATAGGAGTTACTTAAAAGCAAAGTTGGGATAGGGGGAGACGGCAGGTTGGACTTTTAGTAATAATGGCAAGCGCATGTGTCCTGAATAACCAAAAAACTGGTCATTGGTTGACAGAAGGTTCCTCTGGCTCCTATTCCTCTACAGGGCACAGGGATGTTGTTTAAGTCAGAAAACTGAGGACAAGTCAGCCACAGGTTAGGACAGAGGTCAGGAACCTTTTTGACTCAGACAGTCTATAAGGAAAATAGTTGGAAATATGAATGAATGTAGGTGTTTCACCGATCTAGTCAAGGAACAATTAAGT